GACAGTAAAAAGATCAGTGGTTGCCAGGGGTTTGTGGAGAGGGAGGAATAAAGAGGTTGAGCACCGGGCATTTTTAGGGCAGTAAAACTATTCTGTATGATACTCTAATAGTGGATACATAACATTATACATTTGCCAAAACCCATTGAATGCACAACACAAAGAAGGAAACATAATGCAAAAATCCTAACAGTGCTCTAAAAAATAGTCCGTTAATTTAAAAAGAAAAAACTATGGAATCGAGAAGCCAATTTAGTATGAATTCGAATCTTAAGAAATATTGCCTGATACAAGACCAACATATACAAATCAATGATTCATCTACAGCAGAAATAATTTTATAGAAAATTTAATAGGATATAAGATAAAATTACAATAAAAACAAATTCACTTTTTAAAAAATAAACAAAACTTGCAAACATTTTTAATTTCATCCAAGGATTTAAATTAAAACTGAATAAAGGTAGCAATATATCACATTTTTATATGACATAATTAAACATTGTAAACATGTCATTTGTTCAAAAAAACAAAAATGAATTCAATGATCACATTTTACAATTTTTATTGAAGTAAACTAGTTCTGTGTTTTTGGCAGAGACTACTAGTGTCCACTAGGTATTTATTATCTCATTTTTCCTTAGTTACAATTTATGTTAGGAGTCAAAGAGACCAGCTAAAAGATGATATTTCTCATCTTGCCTATCAATTGACTGCAGTCATGAGATTAAGCTCTAGACAGTTAGACATGGCAAATTTTCTGCCTGGAAGACAGCATGATTACTGAAATTAATGCAGCTCCAGCAGTTGACCTTGAGGATAAAAGCCATGTGCTAAAGATTGAAGGAGCTTTAGACTATGATGATTCACCACATCCTCACCAAACTACCTACATCTGGACTTCATTTACATGAGAGAAAAGTGAACTTCTACTTGTTTAAAACTCTATATTGACAGTCTCTAATAGTTAAATGTGATTCCTATATGAATTCAGGAAATGATATACCATGGATCAAGTTATTAAAATGGTGAATATTAGGCTAGAAACAGAGGAGAGTAAGGAGATTGGGGCAAAAGTTCTCATTTGGATAGAATTAAATTTGAGATGCTTGTCAAATATCTAAGGGTAGATGACATATGAATAGCCTGAGTATTTCAATCTTTCTATCTATATTTATGTAAAAGAGGAAAAGATAGTTACTGAAAATATATATCTATAAAGTGTGTATATATGTGGGTGTGTATGTATGTATATATATGTGTGTGTATATATACATACACACACATATATATACATATATATATAAATACTGTTAAGGTTTATGAAATGTTATGACCACATGTTCACCTCTTCAAGATAATCTGACTTAAGGAAGCAAAGCAGTAACTAGAAAGATTTTGTGAGTTTTCAGTAATCTTTCTGCTTTTACTTCCAAGTCATTGCTACTAGCAGACCTCTGTTTAATTGTTGATTTTACAGCACAACACCATTGAGAGGCAATTTGCTTTATGGAAAATTCCTCCAGATTTGCCACTAATGAGTAACTCTGGGGAAAGCCTCTAAGGACAGGAAAGATTCCAACCCTTTCCAATCCCAAGGGAGATGAAGGTCGATAATACTCAGCTCCTAAGCTGCATCTTTGCTACCTATGGACACTATCTTGCCATGTAGACAAAGGATTCTGGATTTTCTGGACTGTCCTACTTGCTCAATAAGATCACTGGATAGAATACATATTTCTAAGGCCATCACTCGTAGGCTGAAGATTAGGAAAGCCAGTAGGTAAGTGTGGAAGGTAGCATTTAACAAACAGATTAACAGCTCAGATTTCAGAGTGGAACATAGTGGATAGAAGTTACGTGCTTGGGGGCTAGATCTGTGTCTGTTTCCAAATCAGTATGTAAATCAATCTATCTGTAAGAAATATCTTACATGGTAAAACTTCTGACAGATGTTTGTAAGAACTGTCTAACAGGAAGGACAAATCTCACAGGAAGTTAAATATGTGAATCTAGAGTTTAGAAAAGAAGATGGAATGGTAGGTATAACTTAGGAGTTTTTTAGGATATTTAAAGCCTGAGACTAGAAGTAAGAGAAGAGAAGAGATCCAAAAGTGAATAATAAGAAAGAGGAGGAGCCAGCCAAGACTAAGGAGTCATCAGTGAGATCACTATGTACCCAGGAGACAGTGGGAGTGTTCCGGAAGCAAAGGAAAAAAGTTTTTGGAATAAGAAGAAAGGAGTCAACTGTGTTAAGTCTTATTGTGAAGTCAAATACCCCAAGGACTGAAAACTGAGCTTTGACATTGACAAGAGTGATTTCAGAGGAATGACAGAGGCAAAAGCTTGATTGAAGAGGATTCAAAAGATCACGGAAGGTAAAACAATAAATTTGGAGAGAAATGGACAATGAGCGATGGAGACCAGTAACTTTCTGAAGGATTTGTCACAAAGAGCAGAGAAGTGGAAGAGCCCCTGGAGAAGGCTGTGGGGAACACATTAAAATACTAGGATATCATCCATCCGAAGTTGAAATTTTAGAAAGTTAGAACCTCACGATTTTAGATAGTTAGGACCTCACGTATTTTTGATGCTGAAAATGCACATAACCTCAGTTCTTAATCACACCTGATCTAAGATCCAACGCAAACGATAATTTTTCAGGTGAATTCCCTGGTGATGTGTACAATAGCAGTAAGATTTCTCAAGCAAAATCATCAGGAAGATCCAGCCTGGAAAAAGATGTAAAAATGTAAGAGATATGGTCAGGCCTGAGCTGAAGAACTGTTGTTCTTGAGAGACAAAGAAGTAAGGGAAGCCTTAATCTTGTAGGAAAAAGGGAAATCTTTCAGTTTCCAATTTTTTTTAAGTCTACTAAAACATATTTATGGCATATAGAACCCAGAAATCTGTAACTTAACTAGCTCTCCAGGTGAAAGTTTGAGAAGCTCTTTTCTCAAGTACTAACAAATGCTCTGCTTAAAGAGGAAAAAGATTATGTGCCTTCATCCTAAATCAATTATCCACTGAACATTTAAAAATTAGTAGAAGCAAGGACGTTAATGAGTATATCAATGGAAACATAAATGGAGACTGTTTCATATAATTACAGAGCCATCACTGAGCAATAGTCCTTTGTACAGACCATGTGCTCAACTCTTTGGCTGTTGGTTTAAAGAATTTTTAAAAAGAAAAAATGTTTCCTACTCTCAAGGCATTTATAATGTAATTGATAAGAGAGCATTTATATGTCATAAAAAATAGAAAACACTTTAAGGCAATATTCAATTAAGGGCTAGATTATCCTATCTATGTATCAGTGTGGGAAAGCATGAATGAGCATATTCATGGAGCTATGAGGTGATTGGCCCGAGAAGAAAGGACACTAAACAGCAATGAGTAATGGAAAGTCATGTTTATTGGTAGGTGGATACAAAATTAGAAGTTCTTGATAGCCAGGCACAGATAGGTATAAGTGGTGCCTTGGAAAATAAGATATTGGAGATATTTGAACAAGGGATAATCAGGCCAAAAGCAGAAAGTTATACATTTTCTGGCAAATGCTTGCAGCATGAATCATAATAATTAGAATGGAATCAATTAAGCCAGTTAAGCTGCTGATGAAATAAGCTGGGAGCAAGTTGATGAAAGAAAGTCCAAAGAAGCTGACTGTGAAAGTGGTGAGAAAAAGACTAAAATGAGAATCACTTTGTAGTTTAAAAAAAAAAGTGTTACAGTATTATGTACTAGTCTGGATTTTAGGGATGAAATAAAAAGATGAATCAATGTTTCCAACCAATATGATTAAGAGAATATTTGGAGGAAAAAACTCTTAATCATAAAATGTGGCAATGGAAGGGAGGACATTTCAACACTTGGGGAGGACAGCATATTGCCCTCTCCTGTGTGCAGTTTTAATTTATTTATTCCTTTTTTGACAAATATTTTCTAAAGGATGTCAACACTGGGGATACAAAGAAGAAGAAAAACTGATGTGATAATAGCAACAACGCACTTTCTGGCCTGGTGAAGGAGTCCAGGATTAACTAAATATCTTAAATCAATATTTTAACAAAATAAATATGAATTTCATTCTCTATATTACAATTGTAAGAGTTCTTTTGAAGGTGCTATAACAACATATAAAGGGTGGGTTTGACTTAGTCAAAGAGGCAAAGGAAAACTTTCCTAAGAAAGGCACCAATTGATCTGAGACTGAAAGAATGAGCAGGAGTTGACTCAGAAAGAAGAAAGCAGCACATTGCTTTGCACTTGAGGGAATGCACCGCAGCCAGAGTGACTGGGGAGCCGAGAATGTGGGGACTGTAGTGCAAGATGGGGCTGCTGGGACACATGAAAGTCAAAACACTTTAAGCTTTGTTAGACATGGTGGGAATTTTTATACTTTCATAAAGCCAATGGTTCTCCAGACACCTATTTTTAAATAAGTAAGAGACATGATCAGATTTTCTCTTTTGAAAAGATCACTCTGATGGCAGTGTGGAGGACATATGGAATGGGGCAAAGGTGGGTATATTAAACCAGTTAGAAGGCTAGCAGTCTGTAGTCACTGACAACAGCTTGAACTAGAGTAGTGACTGTGTAGGTGGGCAGGAGCATTTATTGAGCTCCTACTATGCGCCAAACACTAAGTCTTGACATGCAGTCTCTGCTTTGAAAGGTTCATGATCTTGTAATGAAAACTGATTCATAAACAAGGAATCGTACCACCCGTAATACCAAGTTTAAGAGAACTCTTTTACACTTAAAACTCCAGCAAGCTGCTCTTGTTCCCTTCATTCCCTCATCTTTGTGCCTCCTCACTCAGATCCTCCTTCAGAAAGTCCAAATCGTGTCCCTCTCATTGCTGTTTTAATATCCCACATTGGTGGTATAAGAGAACCCAGTGGCAAGAGAAGAGCTCCAGGGCCTTAGCACAGTAGCTAATAGTGAGTGAATCCTCTCCACGCTGATTCCTTCCTTGTAGCACATCATTCAGTATGAACTGCAGCAAGAATCCCGACTTGGTCCTCTCAGGGCTGTCCAGTGACTCAGAGAAAAGACGGCTGCTCTTCGGTGTCTTCCTTGCCCTCTACTCACTGAGCCTCCTAGGGAACTTGCTCCTGCTCCTGGCCATTGGTGCTGACACCCGCCTCCACATTCCCATGTACTTCTTCCTCAGCCAGCTCTCCCTGGTAGATCTCTGCTTCACCACCACCACAGCCCTCAAAATGCTGGCGGCTTCGTGGACCGGCAATGGATCAATCTCTTTCTCTGAATGTCTGGCCCAACTATATTTCTTTGCAGTTTTTGCTGATATGGACAACCTACTTTTGACGGCCATGGCTATCGACCGCTATGCTGCCATCTGCCGTCCTCTGCGCTATCCACTCCTAATGACTCCCTGCAGATGTGGACTGCTGGTGGCTGGGTCATGGGGAGTGGCCCACGCTGTCTCTCTTGTCCACGCCCTGTTGCTATCCCAACTATCATTCTATACGAATCAAGACATTCCCCACTTTTTCTGTGATTTTGGCCCACTCTTTCAACTTTCTTGCTCTGATACCCACCTCAATGAGGACATGATGATGGTCCTGACAGGACTTTTAGGAATAAGCCCTCTCCTCTGCACAATAAGTTCTTATGCCCATATTTTCCTTGCTGTAGCTAGGGTCCCATCAGCACAGGGTAAAAAGAAAGCCCTGGCTACATGCAGCTCCCACCTCTCCATGGTCATCGTCTTATACAGCACAGTCTTTGCCACCTACCTGAGGCCCCCATCAACTTCTCGCTCCTCTGGGGAGCTGGTTGCTGCTGCCATGTATACCCTGGTAACTGCCACTCTCAACCCTTTTATTTATAGTCTGAGAAATAAGGATGTGAAGGCTTCACTGAGAAGGGTTCTGGGCATACAGAGTTTAAGGGGTTAAAAATAATCCTCGTAAAAAAGACATTTTGGGGAAAATCCCCACTCTTCACCAGCACACTGATAGAGTCAGTTAATACCAGGCATGTCACAGACCATGATATGGTAGATTGGAAAGAACTCTAAATAGAAATTAGGAAAACTAGATTTTAGGTCCCACCATAGGTGCAAGCTTATTTATATATTCTTGCTTTAGGTATATATATTATATATTATAGTTACTTTTATATCAAAATATTATATCAGTAATATGTCAAAGGGAATATTATATGTATTGCATAATAATATATATACTCAAGTGTATTATATAGATATAATATACATAAGGATAGATCGGATAAACTGTGCTTTAAATTGCCTTGTAACACTAATATTACTGAAACTCGATCATCTGTTGCCCTCATTACCACCATTTTGATCACCACTGCCATTTCTATCACCAGTTTAATAATGAAGACCCTCGCTATCAGCTTTACTACGGTCAATGTCATCTTTGTTGTCATCAGAGTCACCACACAGATAACCACCTTTGGTTCTATCCCCATCAGTACCACCAGTGCCATCATCATGAGTGAGAGAGTGGAAACTGGTTCTATACACTTTTTCCCCTTTTAATGTCTCATTTTTATGAATGTTTTATTTAGTTGTGTGTTTGTGCTGTATTTGAAGCTGTCTATAGAGCTTCTTCTAGTCATTGCTGAGAATTTAAAGACCAGCAACATTTGGAGGATTTTTAAGTTATATTCTTGGGGTTTTTAATAGAATTTTAAAATATTTCCTACATAAATTCTATTTATGACTTCTGTTCTGCAAACATAAAGTATCTATGTATCATTCAAAAAATTCTTTTGTTCACTATAGACTCTCAAAGAGCGATACAGAGACAGGATTTACTGCATTGTAAAGAAAATGCACTCTAACTAGGTCAGTCACTGCTGGTTTAGCTTGTCTCTCTGTATGTACCAAGCACTGTGTCACAGCAGAGAATATGCATTAGATTTCTTTATGACACCCACTATAGTTCATGATAATGTGCATCATGGGGGTCTGACTAAATAACTGATAACTAATTCTATCTAAGAGAACAACTCTAGCTACATGGATTTGACAGAGCGCTAACTTAGCACGAGTAATCCAGATGAAGCAGCTGGAGACTGTGGTCTGAAGCACTGGAGAGGAGGAAGCTGTGCCTCGGGGCCCCTGGAGGTACATTTGGATGAGTGGCCTGTGAGCTCTGACTGATAGCCAGACTGCGCATGTGAGGGAAAAACTGTTTGAGACTTACCAGGGACAAACCGCTAACGGATTAAAATCAAAAACACCAGTGACAGAGCAGGGTTTGGGGAGGAGCCGTAGCAGGAGAATGTGCTCTTCTGAGCCTGCTGAACCGAGAAGTCTCATTAACACCTCACTAATACCTCTGCCATCCCGCTGAGACACTAAATGACCAAAATTTAAGAGTAAAAAATCATATTCTTGAGTAACATATGCCTAGATCTGGCCTAGCAAAGCCCAAAATTAAATCCTAACAATGTTCACAGGAAAGAAAGAAATTGGAGACTGAGTCATGCCTAGATAGGCAGGCTTAAAGAATGCCTCGGGCTAACATAGATATACACTACCAAGACACGAAATCAACCCTACCCACGTTCAGGCAGATTTCCCTAGCACTGAAATGCCTTCTATAACAAAAGCTAACACTCTTCAGAAGAAAATAACAGAATCTAGTTTCTACAAAGATTGATATTCTCTCAAACAATTACTACTCATACAAAGACATGGGGAAATCAACATTCAAAAAAATCAATAAAAGTATATTTGATATGGCCCAAATGTTGTGATCTATAGACAAAGATTTTACAACAGCTATTGAAATCTGAACCAACTGGTGAATAATATGAATAATATAACTAAAAGTGGGCAAGATAAATATTTTGTGCCTTCTGATATGATGCAATGTAATAACATAGCAAACTTGTACTATTTTGCTGAAAAACAAAGTTAGCCAAGATCCAATCAAGTTTCTATTTCACTTTTTAAAATTTATATAAAATACAACATATAAAGATAGAAGTTAAACAAAACTGCAAGTAAGCAATAAATTTAATTTTGAATATGAAACATTTTACAAAACAGATAAACCAACTACTCCAATAAGTCAATGGTATAAAAGGGGGAGAAGAGGACTGCTGTACAATAAATGGATTAAGAAACATAATACAAGATGCACTGTGTGAAACTTGTTTGCATCCTGATTTTAAGAATTACTTAAAGACAGTCTGAGGAATTTAAATTTGGTTTGTATACTTGATGATATTAAGAAAATAGTGATAATTATAGTAAGTATCATAATGGCATGGTGGATGTGTTTTATTAAAATATCTTATTAGCTTGCACAACACAATACAAATACAATGTCTAAAATTTGCTTTAATATTTTCCAGTAAAAACAAAACAAAAAACAATTGGAATGGTAGATATACAATTGGCACAACATTGGCAAACTGTTGATGCCAAAGCTGGATGATAACCACATGAGGATTTATTATTGCTACTCTCTGTACTTTTCTGAACATTTGAAATGTTCTACAATAAAAAGTTTAAATGATTAAGTAAAATACATTCAGCTTCAAATATTTTTAAAATATCTAATCCTTC